TTTTTGGATGTGTTATTTTTGGTATTTTGGGCTTTCTCTTACTGGGTTTATTTGAATTTCAATAGAAAGTTTCATAAATAGCACTGATTGAAAGAAAACATTGGCTTGATTTTTTTTTATTATTCTATTAAACTTCATTTTAAGTCATTAAGCCATGTTTGAATACCATACTTTTGAGAAAATAGATTTTTAAATAGTAATTTTTGGGAGAATGTGTGTTAAAAAGTAGAAAATAGTTTTGAATTTAAATTTAAAGCATTTTGTTATGTGAATGTATTGTTAAAATTGAATATGATTTCACATTTTGATTGGTTGAAGCTTGAAACTCAAATTTGGGGAATGTATTCAATGGGTCTTTTGAAAAAATTTGATGAATTTTTTTAAGTATTGACTTCTAGGGATTTTGTGGATTTTTTTATATAGAATTAGTGAAAGTCTTTTGTAGATTTCTATGGATTTTTATTAAAAAAACGTTTATTGACTTTTGTAGAATTTAAAATATTTTCTAAAGACTTTCATTTGAAATAGGATTCTGTGGATCCAGTACAAATTCTCACATACGAGATGGAGGTTTTCACAATTTTCCTTCTCCTTCCCCTCCTCATATAATAAAAAATTATTTTAAAAAGAATAAAAATTTAAGACCTTAATTAAATAAATAATAATCAAAATTATACATATATATGATAAACAATAAATTTAATATTCAATATTATTAATATAAAATACTTTTTAAGAATAAATAAAAATCAATATATTTAAATTTAATTATAAAATTTTCATATAAAATTTTATAATTTAATAAAAAATAGATATTTTTCACAAAAAAATGAATGGAAAAAAAAAGTTATAAGAATCCAATTTAATTTTTTCATAAAAAAATAGAGATAAATAATAAGAGAGAGAGAAAAATGAATGTAAATAAATATAATCAATAAAAAAATTTTAATTATACATTTAATGTTCGTCGAAGGAAAAATGAAAGAAATATTGAAAAAGAAAAACATCTTCTTCTTTTTTGTGAAAGTCTCTTAAAATCTCATGATTAATGAAAGACAAATTTTGAAATTTTATATAAGTGTATTCAATTGAGACTTTCAAAAACTTTAATATACTTTTTTTAATAGAGATTTTATTTGAGTGTATTCAATTGAGACTATTATTGAAATTTGAATATATCAAGACTTATAGAAATTTCTAAAAAAATTTAATTGAATACATTGCCCCCGTTTGATCCCCATTTTTACCCAAAAATGTATTTTTCCCATCACATAAATGTAGGACCTACACATTATTATATGTTTTGATTTGAATTCAAACGGCATAAAATTCCAATTTCACCCATGGTCTAGACCTTGGCTGAGTGGTTTTGGGATGGAAAGTCAATGGGCAAGGGCAAGGGCAAGGGCAAGGGCAAATTTTGGAAAAGAAGAAGTCTTGGTCTCTGAGTAAAATCACGTGGGTTGGCAGGCAAATAATAAGCCACGGTCCAAAAATTCATTATTGTGCAAAATTAATGGGGACCAAACAGTCCCACTGTAACTTATAGAGACTTTATAAAATGGATGATGCTACAATTCACTTGGGATTCTATCCAAATAAACCTTGATTGATATTCAAATTCAATTTTGTCACTTTAAAACCGTTAGCATTCAAAATATTTAGTAATTGTTTGATAAAGGAAAGTGAAAATTTTGGCTTGTATGACTCGCTATTGTTAGTAAACTTTTGTCAATAGTACTTCTACTAGTAGAATTTTATTACTTATGATTCATTCCATCAAGTTTATGCACATTTCACAGGAACAATTAACAAGCCACGTTTGAATTGAATTTTATAAAAAGTTTACATTTTCACTTTCCAATTGGGTGACACCCTACCCAAGGGTTTTTATGGCCTGAAACTTATGGGTCAATTTCAAGATAGTACATATTATTATTATTATTAAAAAAAAAAGCACATTGGTTGACCAAGTTGAAAAGTAAACATTTGACAACTAACGAGGGACCATAGAACTTTCGAATACGGTATACCTAAATGAGGTTACAATTCAAATGGGGTTCTATCCAATAGACCTTGATTGATATTCAAACTCAAATTTATCACTTAAAATCGCCACTATTGAAAATATATAGTCATTATTTGATCCTCATTGTTTTCAAAATACATTTTTCTCTCTTCTTTTCAACTATACATTCTTAATAAAATAATATTACACGCCACAAGTCAAAAAAAATTTCTCATTTTTTAACCATATATTCTCCATTAATCTACTATTTGAAAATGCATTCTTACAATAAAATGGGACTCAAACGGGCTTTGAAGTGAAGTCATATTTTCACGTCGTCTTCCATTGTATGAACAATATGGTCTTCGCAAGATAATTTACTATTAGCGAAAATTGATATAGGGAAAAATTTATAACTAAAAAGTTAAGAGGGTGTTTGGCATCCATTTTTATGAAAAAATGAATTTTAGAATAATAGATTAATGTAAAATGTGTGGATGAAAAGTTTTTTTTATTTACGTGTAATATTATTTTAATGAAAAATGTGTGGTTGAAAAGAAGATAGAAAAAAATGCATTGTAAGAAAAATGAGAATCAAACGGGGCTTAAGTATCACCCATTTCAAAATTAAGAACAAAGGTTACAAGTTTCAAAAATCAGATATTTATTAAAATTTATTTATAATTTAATTAATTAATTAATTATACATTTTATTAATTAAATGTATTAAGATCACGGATTTATACAATTTGATCACAAATTAACGATTTAATTAGTCATACATTATTTTTTAATTACAAATCAGAATTTTTATATATTACAAATTATTTTATGGCCACAATTCAAAAATTTTATAGGTCGTAATTTATTCATCGGTTACGAATCAAAAATTTATGAGTCAAAATTCTTTTATCGATCATAAATCACAAATATTATAAGTTACAAATTATCAAAGTATCAATCACAAATTAACAATTTTTTAGGTCATACATTATTTCTTGGTCAGAATTTATCTTTTTCATTGGTCATATATTATTTATTAGTCACAAATTAACCAATTTAATTATCACAATCAACCAAATAATTTATGAATACTACCAATACTTGCGACTACCATCTCACCATTGTCTCCAACAGTAAGACCACCATCGTCGTCACCAAAACTACTAGCACCACTGCATGACGTCGCAGTGCCGCTCAATGACATATTTCGGTGGCATCTTCTCATCTTTCAATGTGATCGTTAAATGATGGAGAAAATGGATAGAGAATGAGAGGAGAGAGAGAAGGAAGAGGGTAGAGAAAGAAAAAAAAATTAAGGAAGAATTATCAGGGTTTGAAAATGAACTGGTGAATATGTAATTTTTATTATTATTTAAAAGATCATCTGATTTTTGAACAAAAATTCTTTATATTTGATTTTTAAATTGCACATTTTAAAATTATGGATATGTGTAATTTCCACATTGATATATGAGTGTGGGAGTAAAAGTTGTCAAAATTTCTTATGGTTCCAAAAAGAAATTATCCATTTCTAAATGTGTCATTTGCGTCGAATAAAAAATCTTTAGGCTTTCATAACTAATTTATTTTATTGAAATGGATACTACTAAGTAGGACTAAGAATGATGAGCAGGCAAAAATCATATCATCGAATTTGTATGGTATTATTGTCCTATGGGACCTTAACGAGTGGGCCCACAAATTTTAAATAAAAAAATATGTCATTTATGCCTTATGGACCTTCCACGACATATCTGAATACGATGCACGAGTAACTTCAATCCAATGTGTTATAATCAAATACCAGACGTCACCGCGTTATAACCAAAATCAACACTCTTTATAATTTAACGTGTCACTCTCTTCTCTGAATCAACACGTTAGGTTGACCATTTGACTCACCAGACTCGTCACTCACTCGGCCCCCACACATTTATATACACGCCTGAGCCGCCATTTCCAACACTACCAGCACACGAGCAACACTCTGTGAAGCCAAAAAACCCCATTTCGAAGATTAATCTATTTTCGGAAGCGATTAAGATATAATGATGAAATCGGAAGGAACCAGTGAGCAATTAAAGTATAAGGGTGTGAGGAAGAGAAAGTGGGGAAAATATGTGTCTGAAATTCGATTGCCCAATAGCAGGGAGAGAATTTGGTTGGGTTCTTACGAGACGGCGGAGATGGCGGCGCGTGCATTCGATGCGGCGCTGTTGTGTCTGCGTGGCAGTAATGCTAAGTTCAATTTCCCGGATAACCCACCGCCACCGGAGATAATCAGAGGGACTTCGATGACACCTACGGAAATCCAGGCGGCGGCATCCCAGTTTGCCCGCTCAGAACCAGGGAATGTTCATCCGGGTCGGGTTGAGACTTCGAATCCCCAATCGTATTCTTCTTCTGATGTACATGCAGAGTCCCCTTCTCCCTCAGTTTCGGGTAGGGCAATGCATATTGATAATGAAATGACTGAATTACCCCATGAAAATGCATTTATGGACCCCTTTTTGAATATGGGAACAGGGAATGATGTTTCTAAATTTGTCATAAAGTGGACTGATTTTCTTTTTTCAAGGCCATCTAGTTCGAATATTTAGGTTAAGTTTTATAGTTCATTATTCAGGCAAAGTGGTTAAGGATGTAAAGATTATGTAACGAATTACGTTCTTTATAAAATGAAATGTCTTTGAAATTTTTTTTTCTTTTTAATAAATTGTAACTTAGAGGATAAAAAGTAACAACGGCAATCTTTTATTAGTTTATATTCTCTTTTATGCATTTTTCACCAAGTAACTGAAGTATATCTAATTGAGAGAAAAATCACGTTGATGATATCAGCAAGAAAATGAGATGAACTCAATATTTTGAAGTAACGATCAAAAGTCGACCATCGAAAGATAGGAAAAAAAAGGAAAATTAAGAAGGATTAATGGATACCTATTGAAGAGATTCAATGATAAAAAAAAAAAAAATATTCTTAATGTCATGCTTTATATTCCGGTGAAGTCACTTTATCTTTATTTGTGCTTTTTCAGATTTGTTGGGCTGATTTTAGCCAAACCGTGTACAAATAATTTGACTAAGAAGACTTGTCTCGGTCTTAGGTGGGCACAATGGGCCCGAGTGTTCTTAAAAGTGAAAATAAATTAAGTTATCCAATTTATCTTAAAACAAAAACGTGTGTAGAAGTTATTTTATTTGGAAATAATTATGATGTGGGGTAACACTAATATTCAACGAAGATTCTCAGATATAAACAAATTTAATATTTTGATGAAAAAACATTATAATTTTAAAATATAAATAATTAAACTTAAGTTGTTTATTTTGAAATAGATCATAAACAATTTTACAATGGGACAAATTCTTGTCGATCACATACTAGTGCATTGCACGTGCGTCACACATGTATTGCACATATATTCTCTAATTATTCGTTTAGTTACGTTAAATGAATTTTTCCTTGTTGGTTCTAAAATTGAATAAATTTATGTCTATATAATGTGAGAACATACATATTTGAATTTTGGCTTTCTAGTTAGTTTTTGAAATAACTAAGACTTCATTAAACTAATGTAACAACGAAATTATAGACTTTGTGAAGGGTTCTATCTAGATTAAGAACATCTGTTATTCATTCTATATCGTCCTACTCAAATATTTGTGTAGTCCTATATAATGCAGTCTTACTCATTTAAAATAACGATAATTTTAAATTTTTAAAAGTTCAAAATATTTGGAAGTAAGTCGATACCTAATGGTGGATTTCACATTGAATACCGTCCTACTCATTATAATATTTTCTTACTCTAATACATTCACTCTTGTTCATCTATAAAAAAAAATAATAAGCAAGTGGACGAAACATTGGTGAATAATCAATTGAGAAGAAAACTTGATTGAAGTTTACCTAAGAAAATTTTTAAACCACATGTTTTGTTGAGAAAAGGCATGTTCTCACTTTTTTATCCTCAACATGCTTTTAATTTTAAATTCACCAAAATTTTAATAACTTTCGGTATTCATGCATATGATGTTATTTTAATTTTTGTACTTCGCTTGAGCACCAGAAGTGATGTATGAAAGTATTTTAAAGAGTTAAAAATGAAAACATTGTCATTATTCTTTGACATTAAATTTGACATTGTATCACTTGTCGCACAATGAATGGCCAGTTTTATAATGAAAAACACTTTCTCGTCCATACATTTTTGAATTTGTAAGAATTTGCAAACAATGTCAAATTCCATGTACAACATTGTGTGTAGAAGGAGCATTATTCATTTAAAAATATTCATAACCGCATTTTGCCATGTGATGCACGTGTATTGCACCAGTGTTGCCTATAATTATTCTTTTAGTTATGTTAAATTAAATGGATTTTTCTCGTTGGTCCTGAAATTCTATAAATTTATATCGTATTATTATAATGGTGGGTTCCTACTCATTATAATGTTTTACTCTAGAAAATTCACTCTCATCCATCTATAAAAAAATAAAATAATCAAAGGATGAAACATCGGTGATGACTTGATTGAAGAAAGTTTGATTGAAGTGCACCAAAGAAAGTTTTCCAACCACATTTTTGTCGAGACAAAAGGAATGTTGTTCATTTCTATATCCTCAACACACTTTTAGTTTTACTAAGTTTCTTATTTTTTCAATATGCTTGCATATGATATTATTTTATTTTTTATACTTCGCTTGAGCATCAGCCATCAGATGTTTCTTAATGTCCCACAGAGTGTACAAAAATAAGTTAAGCTCATAAAAACACAGTTAATCAATTAAAACTTCATTTTTTTTTAAAACTATATAAAAATTAACATAATCACAAAACAAAATTTGAAAACCTGCAAATCACAAAGATCACTAAATTCAACATAAAAACTCTAGGAGGAAAATAATTTGATGAAAAAACTGACTTTGTTTTAACTCGACAAATGATAGAGTGTCATGTGACATTATGTAAGACATTATATAAACCATGATATACATGTAGCATCTCCCAAAACTTTATGATTTTCGACGTACAAGTCTCAATTATTAGTTTAGTTTTTACAAACGGGTCTAACGCAATGCAATCAAAGGGAAATTTGAACAAAGTTTCCTGGACGGTAACAAATCTAGAAGAACCCGTAATTTTCTAGCAAAAGAATAGTTGTCTCAACTCTATGATTCTCGTACAAGCCGACGCTAAAAGGTTACTGCTCACCACCTCTAATGAGTCGTTCCTCTTTCTCACAATTTTACTCGGAGACCGAAAACAAGAAGCGATGAAGATAAAACACTGAATTCTCTCTTTAAACCTTTACAGAAAGAATTCACTCCTGCCCAGGCTGCCCTAGAAGTGAGGAGGGAACCAGGCCCTACTGCAATCACCTGTAATCAAAGATGGCAAATACTGAGGACAGCATTTGCATGCTAGCAAAGTACTCATTCTGCAGTCGGAAACACTTCCTAACTTCGAAGCTTGAGAGATATTACTTACGGTGCCAATTGATGGCTTCTCCTTGCTTGCCTCCGTTAGCAATAAGCCACCAGAAGTTTTCAATTCAGCCTCAGCTACCTGAATAAGAATTGTTGTTTAAGACAGAGCTTTGTATATCCTTAGGTCCTATTGACCTCAATAGCAATGAAAAAAGAGAATGTATAAAATGAAAAGAAGAAAACAGAAAAACGCAGAATCTATCATCTCTTCTAAAATGAATATCTGCAGAAGTTGTGTGTGGATAAGTCCATAATCCATAAGGGTTCTGCAACTTCATTGATATAGCCACAAAAGACACACTTCTTATATCACATTTAAGGGAAACATTGGCGTCTCCAAGTTCACTTTCAGCAAATTATTAGATCAAACCGTGGATTAGTCCAACATTATGCACAAAGCTGAATAATAAAGTAACTACACTATTAAGTATTAACAAACCTTAATGAGAACTCTATCGTTCAGGGGCTTCATATCCTTGACGTCGTCAGTATCAAGGATTCCCACAATATCGTCCTCCTTCAAAATGAGATGATTCGATCCATTGAACTCGACTTCTGTTCCCGCATACTTGGAGTACACAACTTGGGTGCCATTCTAGAGATATCATTCAGTCGGTAAATGCAATCATTAAGGAGATAACAAAAACTGGAATGCATTAGACCGTGCTATTACCTTCACACTGATGTCCACCTTGCTCTTTCCAATTGTTCGACCCTCTCCAACGGCAACTACTTCACCTCCCTGTGGTTTCGTTTGTGCTGCTGTTGGTAGCAAGATACCACCCGTCGACTTCTCCTCTGCAGTCTTAATCTTCACTAGAACTCTATCGCCCAAGGGCTTTAGAGCAGTGTACTGCAGGATCAGAAAGCAAATATAGTAAACAAGACAAAAGAAAAATCACATATACAACAAATCTAAATTGAAATTTGCTTAAAGAAAACAATATTACAGTCAATTCACATGTACAAATTCAAGTTCTCACAATGGTTCAACGAACATTTCGAACTAAGGGAACAGCTACAAGAAAATTAAAAGAGTCAGCTACCACAATTAATGTATAATCAAAACAAGTATTCGTAGCCTAATAATTAGATTGCCATAAATTGCTTGTACACACTAACACCTCTTATCTCATTATCAACATAACAATGCGGTTTTCATTTTACACTTGCATCTTTAGGTAAAAGTAACCATTGAACAGTATCATACTAGCGCTATTACAAACCTAACAAACAAGAAATGCTATTTCCTTGCGTCAAATAAGAAATTGACTAGCTACAAATACGAAACGAAATTTAAAGGGGGGGGGGATACAATTTTCAAGAATTAGATGACAGGAAATTCATCTATGAACTGAATAGAAACCTTGGGTGAAACAACAGTTGCAGCCTTAACAAGTCCACGGAATGACCTGAGGGAGAGCCCATTTTGCTTAAGAGGTGAAAAGGATGAAACTTTTACAGAATTTTGCCTCAGCCCTTCAAATGATGCAAACTCATTCGCTGAAACTGTAGATGATGTCAACTGTATCGCTGCCATTTCTTCCGCGG